GCTGAAAGCCATCCTCAGTATATACCACCTCCATCTCCAAGATCCTCATTAAGGCGGAGGCATCCTACGCTAGCATGGCTCGCTTGGTGGGACAATCTATTTCCTTGAGCTTAAGAGATTCTGCCAGAGGAATGTACAGGGAGGACCCCTCGAAGGACTTCCTATTGTGCAGGCAAAGAGGCAGCTCGAACTTGATTTTTTCCCTCAGCGGGATGAGGTCCACAATTTCATTCGGGTGTGCATGCTTGAGCCTCGAACTCACGAGCATGGGAGACGTCTGGGTGGTTGGAGGGGTAGACGAGGAAGTCCCTGATCCTGTCTAGGGAGAAGTTGTTCGCTGACTAAGGCGGCTTTTTCCTATGTCCACGTCGCCCTTCATCTTTCCGTGGCATTCTTCACCATCCGTTCCTGCGCAGAAGAAATATTACCTGCAAAAACAACGAGCACATCAACACATGAAAAGAGGGGCATGTCGAATAAAATAAGAAGCGGAAAGCTACCCAAGAGTTTAAAAGCCTCCGCAAGTGCTACACTCGAAGAGCTCTTTCGTGTTAATATACGGGCCCCTGTAGCCCCCTATCTTCTTCATGGAACATCTTTCCAGCGCGAGTCACACACTAGGCGGGGAAGAAACCATCCACAAAGGCCACCAACTTAGCATAGCTGGCCCAACCATCGTCCCTGAGCTGATGAGGAGTAACTATATACTCATCAGTTGAACGGGTGAAATGAGCCACACTACAACAAAAGAGTAACAAAAATAGTCTCCGAGAAACTATCTTATCGTCCTCGTCTATCAGATCCTCCTCGTTCTCATCCGTAGAGACCTCCCAGACGAAGGTCGAATCGGTAGCTGTCTCCGACACAGGCTCGATCACATAGAACATCTCCTTGAAGGTTCGAATAGACTCAGGGAAGGGTTTAAATAATTTCCTCCCCTATTTTAAGAAAACCCAACCGAATTTCCTCCGTGACACCTGTCGCTGGAGGTGGAAGATGGTGAAGAAAAGCGAAAGAATGACCCCTAATATGCAAATACTCACACACTAATTCGTTTTCCCGCATGAAGGCAATATAATTCTGATGCAGCTGGGAGGGTGCCAAATCCAAATGAACAAAGACTGCCCGCTGGAAGTTTGTGAAGGGCAACCTCAACCCTATTTCTTTGAAAACATACTCGTACATGAGAATCTCTCTCCGTACAATGAGTATATACGGTCATCCTCCGCGGGGAAGTGAACCCTCCACTCTCTCTCTGGCCCCACCATGGTAAACACATCCCCGATGTATAAAGAAAAAAGTGAGGCATACTCTATCAGTTCAGCGACAATCCACTCGTCTGCCGATGTCCTCGCAGAAGACACCCCTCAGCCTCAGGGGGCATGAAGTCATCATCCATTTCAGTATCTTCCGAAGAGCTCTCCTCAGATAAAACTCTCTAAGATGTTCTTTTTCGTCAGCCCTGCGTGATATTGCCTTTACCTGAAAAGTAAAGGATAAAAGTGAATTCGATGATAAAATCAAATCCACCCTTCCACTGCTAGTCAAGTGAAAAGGCGCGCAAAGGGCCAATGACAACATCCTCGACCTAAGCCCTACTCAAATGGCACAGCTAAACAAACGAATAAGTGCCAAGGAGTTCTCCCTGGCACATCCAGGGAAGAGTTCCCACGCGCAAAACCCATATTTCTTATAAGGGAACCACCAGAAAGCTAATAAGCACGCCAGAATCCATGGTTCCCTCCGAAAGTGAACACCACCGTGCCGCTACGACTACGGGATCAGATAAAATCTTAAGGCTTCCTAGGTTCTCCCTCTCTAAACGATCACTACGGCACCAGCAGCAGAGAAAGTGGCCAAACCACCGTCTACCACCAACAACCACCACTAAACGCCATAGAACTACTTCATTTCATCCCTAACTACATGCATTCTAAGTGCAAAAACTAGAAAAACGGATAGCAAGCAAAGAATCGGGGTACTTACTTGGTTAGGGAAGAAGCTTCTGGATTTTAGTAGCTTTGGTCTGACTTGGTACGGTGGCCGGAATGAAACTTGACGGCGGCGGACGGCTGGGAACGATGAACAAATAGCAAAGAAGAGAGAGAAGCGAAAGTTTAAAATGAACAGGCTCTCTCACTATTTATAGGCAAACTCCAGCCACATGCACGTGCGGGTAGTGCATCTTCATGACCCTAGCCTAGCCATCATCACGCATTTAATGCAACACACTCGAGGCACATGTGCGCTCCCACTCTTCAGATCCCATCAACCGTTGGTTTCCCCGGACCTCGAGCTCCCCGACAAGCAAAGTTTCAGATGCCCGAGTACAGATTCCTTCGGGCACAAGGTAGCTTACAACGACTTTGCCCGGTAAGTGGACTGTCCCCAAGTCATCACTACCATTCTCGATAACAACGACTTGGGGGGCAACTGTTCTGGACTGGCCCAATGGCTGAGTATGACCCAATCCACTTCTGCTCCTAAAACGACCCAATTGCCCAAGCCCAACCACTTTGGGGGAGAATTCACCTTTCTACCCCTCCAACATGGATATTGACCAATTTACCCCTGGGCCATCACTCATCCTCGTCAGTACTTGCCCGTCACGCAGGATTTCACCATCCAGAAACAGCCAAGACGCTTGTGCCCATAATTGCGCCTCTGCCCATAACAACGACTAGTTATGGGCACCTCTACCCGTTCTGGAAGTTACCTATTCTCCGGGAAACAACTATTTCCCCCCGAAAATAGCGACCAATGGCCAAGCGCTAGGGACACTATAAAAACCCTCTCATCTGAGAGGGTCAGATATCCAATATTCATCCTGATATACTCATATTATGTACATGCTCTCTCTCTCTCTCTCTCTCTCTCTCTCTTGCTTGTTTTCTTACTTTAGTATCGAAGTGCCTTGCAGGTACATCCCCTCCTCCTCTTTCACACCCAGCATCACAAACGATTGTCTTTGCCCCACCTCAGATTCTGATCAACCGGTAAGATCATATATATATATATATATATATATATATATATATATATATATATATATATATATATATATATATATATATATATATATATATATATATATATATATATATATATATATATATATATATATATATATATATATATATATATATATATATATATATATATATATATATATATATATATATTACATAACATATCAAGAGTATGAGACATTACAATACAACATACCTTTTATTGATAATGTGTAGGAAAAACACTCACTTCTACCTCCAAGATCATCAATTAATAGCTTTAAGAACCATGTCCAACTTTCTCTTATTTCACGCTCCACAACTGCAAAAGCTATTGACAACATCTGATCATTAGGGTATCTTCCAATTGTTGCAGAGTTTTTCCTCCACAAATACCCTTTAAAAACAACCATTAAGGCCTATAACATGTCTACATAACTAGAAGCTCTCCTTATAAGTTGCATAATATATGTAAAGTCTTCTGAAATAGGGCCTTCTATCATCAATTCCTTCTTGAGCAGGTTGGATATTTAGATTGACTTTTGACCCAAGATTCTCAAAATTTCATAACAATAGTCATAAATCCTAGTGTAAACCACCTAAGAAAGAACCATCAACCATGTCTCTAGTTACAAATCTAGCCCTGATTGCCTTAGTCTTCTTGACACATACATTCAACTTCCTTTGTGCCTTTTCCTTTATATCCTCAATCTTTATCCTTGAATTGTTTTTATAATGAATTTTGACTCCTCTTACTCAACCACTTTGTTGTCATCATCTTGACATTATACCCTCTACATAAAAAAATAAATAATTTTTAGTTTTATATTATAAATTGTATAGAAATTCATCTAAGACACAGAAGGAAGAAGAAAAAAGAATAGAATAAATTGTTTTCGTTGATAAAAAAACAACAAAATATAAAATTGAACTTATTATAAAATTATTTAAAAATAAAAGTGTGAAATTAAGTCCATTGTTACAAATAGTTAACAAAAGAGTTAGTTGTTAAAAAACAAACCAATTGTTAATAAATAATTAATATTTTAAATTAAACATTAACAACATAGTTCAAATCTTCGATCTTAAAGATATATACGTGAGTTTTTACTAATATTATTACTTCGTCTATATATAAAATTTAGTTAATTTAAAAGTTATTGAAACTTGATTTTTAGAATGTTTTAAAATAGAACGTTAACAATATAGTTCAAATCTTCGATCTTTCAAATATGTGGGTGATATTTTTAAAATTTTTAAAAAATAATATACTATATTAACATATAAATTATATTATTTTAAATTTTTTTAAAAAATATCAAATATACTTAAAAATATAAACGTAACCTTCTAAAATTTTCTCCTTTAAAACTTAAAAAAAAAATTCACAAACAACCTTAAAAAACTTATTAAACAAAATTAAGGATGTATAACCCATTATATTGACCATGGTGTTACAGAATTATGTTAATATAGAAAAATTACATTTGTAGCATTATTCTATAAATAAATAAAAATGTCTCAATTATATTTCCCATGGTTTCGTGTATACTATAATTTGTTGTCTGCATCGGGGAACGTAGCGCAAGAAGATAACGTAACGGTACATACTCTCTTCATGAAATCATTTCATCATCTTCTCCATTTTTTCCCAATCATTTCTCATTCTCATCATTAAATATTAAAAAATTCACAAACCCAATTGGAAAATTTCACTATTTCCTTTTTCCTTTTTTGTAAAAATCATTTTTTTAATCTTTTTCCTTGTTCATAATCATAACAACAACAACTCTACCATCAATAAATAGAATTAATTAATTCTTTTGTTGTTTCTGAACCTGCCCACAATTTCAAACAAGTTCAATTTGAATTCCACCTTATAAATTCATCACCTTTACATCACTTTTTCTCCTACTTCATTGATTGGTTCCAACAGTGCTCAAAAATATAATCTTTTGGGACAATCATTACCTCAATTTTCCCTTTTATTTGATGGGTGTTTCGGTTGATTCACCATCAAAAAAGGGTTCATGGAGATTTCTCACTAGAAAGAAGCAGGTTGATTCTGCAAGTAATAACACTAAACCTCTGCTTGCAAAGGAGTTAACTATTCCTCATCTTATTGCAATTGGTAATTCATTCAATTCAACTTAAAAAGTTTTAATTTCTATCTTTTTTTTTTCATCTGGGTTTCTTGATAATCTGTTTTGGCACGTAGGAAAATTGTCTGGTTTGTGTTTTCATGTTGTTAACATGAAACTGGTGTTTTCTGTTTCTGAGCACATGATTTGGTTTATTATACTAACTGTGTTTTGGAAATTGAATTTGATGTGTGTTTTTTTTTATGATAATAACATAACTAGGTGTTGGTTCAACAATTGGGGCTGGAGTGTATGTTTTGGTTGGAACAGTAGCTAGAGAGCATTCTGGACCAGCTTTGGCTATTTCTTTTCTGATTGCTGGCTTAGCAGCTGGTCTTTCTGCTTTTTGCTATGCGGAGTTGGCTTGTCGATGTCCTTCTGCCGGAAGCGCGTATCACTATTCATACATATGTCTTGGAGAAGGGTTTGTTTTTCTTAGTCATTTTCATTTGGTGTGTGTTTGGATTAGCTTATGTGAAACTGATTTTGAGGTCTGTGAATTTATTTAACATGGTCTCATAAAAGAAATTGATTACTTTGTTTTCAGTGTTGCTTGGTTGATTGGCTGGTCCTTGATACTGGAATATACAATTGGTGCCGCAACTGTTGCACGTGGCGTAACCCCTAATCTTGTACGGTGTTCTTTTAACTTTTCCATTAATTTTTGCTTATTTTGGAATATGTTTCTGTTAGACTATTTATATTATTCTATCAAAAGTCCAATATAAAAAATTCTCATGAGTTGGCCCGTTGGTTTAAGGCCTGAGACCTGAGAGTGTGCTCCTCTCAAGGTCTCAAGTAGCGAATATTGACATCTGATACAGATATGTTCCTTCTTTTAGGCTCCAATTTTTGGTGGTCTGGACAATCTACCGTTCTTTTTGTCGCGCCAGCATATTCCTGGGATTGATATTACTGTGGACCCATGTGCAGCAGTTTTGGTAATGCTTGTTACAGGACTACTATGTTTGGGGATCAAGGAGGTAGTTACAATTATAATATTTTTTATTCATCTCTTATATGATTCTTTTTCAATTTATTTCTTAACCACGCAAGCTAGAATTTTCTCTTCTTGATCGGTGAAACTTATTACACGAATCCCTTATACATGCAGAGCACAGTGGTACAAGGCATTGTAACGTCGGTGAATGTATGTGCATTGCTTTTTGTGGTTATAGCTGGTGGTTACCTAGGATTCAAGTCTGGATGGGCTGGATATGAACTTCCTACAGGGTACGTTAAACTTTTTGTTTTTCATTTCCTCGTATATGTTCGGTTTTTGCGTCCTGTTACTTAAAACTTGTCTCTTTTGGTTTAATAGATATTTTCCATTTGGGGTTGATGGGATGCTTGCTGGTTCCGCAACAGTCTTCTTTGCATACGTAGGTTTTGATGCAGTTGCCAGTACTGCTGAAGAGGTATAGTGCATTGTCACGTTGCCACTCACCAATAGCTTCCATGAATGCAGTTTTGTTTCCTTCTTACCGTAATTTATGTGTGTGGCTCTTTCGCATCCAATGGCTTAAACTTGCTGATAATGTTTCACTTAATCAACAGGTGAGAAATCCTCAACGAGATTTGCCACTAGGCATCGGTGCTTCATTGTTCCTATGTTGTGGAATTTATATGCTGGTCTCCATTGTTGTCGTTGGTTTAGTACCTTATTATGCAATCAATCCAGATACACCGATATCCTCTGCATTTGCTGTCCATGGGATGCAATGGGCCGGGTAAGTTTATAGTTTTCGCAAAGTTTATCAAGTTTCTTTTTTTTGGCTCCATAAAGATAGTTTCCTAAGATGAGTTTACTATCTTTGACTGCAGTTACATTATAAATGCCGGAGCTTGCACAGCTCTCATCTCAGCATTGATGGGTGGGATACTTCCACAGGTAAATTATCGGATATCTCTGATATTGCCAAAAAAATTCTTCCTTATTTCAATTTGCCAAACGAAAACACTAAATATTGGTCGATGTTTCGCAGCCACGAATTTTGATGGCAATGGCAAGAGATGGACTAGTGCCACCATTTTTTTGTGACATAAATAAGCATACTCAAGTTCCTGTGAAGGCCACAATAATTACTGGCCTTGCCGCCGCAGTCTTAGCATTTTTTATGGAAGTCTCTGAACTTGCAGGGATGGTAAGTCCACTATATATATAGATCTATCCATAGATAATGAAACTATAACTATTTGACAAAAATGTATGTATAGTTTATATTAGTATAGTACAGATGTTTATTTTTCTTTTCCATTGCAGGTTAGTGTAGGAACTCTTTTAGCGTTCACCATGGTGGCAATATCTGTGCTGATCCTAAGATATATTCCTCCAAATAAAGTCCCAGCGCCTCCTTCTCTCCAAGATTCAATCGTAGTGATCGAAGCCGTAAATGAAGACGAAAGTGTCAGTACTTCTGAAGACACAAAACCTTTAGATGTTACGCGAGATTTTCCCATTGATCATCCTCTTATTTCTAATCACCTTGTCATAATAGGAAACTGTGAGTTATGACTTTCCTTCTCCTTTATCAATGTCTATCAAATATAAATTAAGTTAGTAGTAAAAAAATATAATAGGTTACTCTAAATTAGACTTTTCTCATAGGCTTCTGTCGTTTTTCTCCTTACATTTTTTTGTTTTGTTGTTTTGGGTGCGCAGATGTAAATGAGGGTAATAGAAGAAAACTTGTTCGACGGACCATAGCACTCATATGCTTGGGGGCGTTCGTCCTCACATTTGCAGCTTCATGTTTAACTTATCTTAGGTTAGTCTCATAAGTGATAACTTATGCACTTCATTAGTGTATGTCATCATGCCATTAAGGATCAGTTCTAGTGTTTGAAGTCTTTTCGGCATTTTTTATGCTATTCCAGTTATGTTCGCTTCACATTTTGTGGAATTGGAGGCATTCTTCTTGTGTTTGGATTTGTGTTCCTATCCTTAATAGATCAAGATGAAGCGAGGCACGACTTTGGTCACTCTGGAGGTACTTATACCATCATAAATTAGGCTGGACTGGACACATTAATCTGTTGATAATAACTCTATGATTAATCATTTTTCAGGTTTCATATGCCCATTTGTGCCATTGTTGCCTATAACTTGCATTCTCATCAATTCCTACCTGCTAATTAATCTCGGGTAAGCATAAATATGCATATGGTTGTCTGCAAATCCTAGATCAACGGGCAGAAACCGATATTACTAGATTGAACACTATTACCAGGATTCAAACCCTGGTACTGGTTGTGTGAGTTTTAGTGGTTATTACCACTTCGTCTACAAGACAAATAAATATTGAATGGTTTCTTTAATGTTATGTTTGTTTTTCAGATTGGGAACATGGTGGCGTGTTTCTATATGGTTGGTAGCAGGACTTGTAATCTATGTGTTTTACGGCCGAACTCATAGCTCTCTAAAAGATGCAATTTATGTGCCAGCAAGTCAAGTGGACCAAACCTATCAGACTCCGAGAAACTATCTTGCTTAATCTGTATAGAAAAATCGTAGTCGTTTTAGTCTTGGGACGCAAGAAAGCATCCAAACATGCTGTTAATGTCTGAGATGATGTTGCAGTTCCATCAGTTGTATAAATCCTTGTACAGAAGGAAATGCTTGTCAAGAATATAGCATAGGGTCATGCATTTTGTTTTCTTGAAGAGAAGAATGTCATTATTATGTGCATCAATTCTTGTATGATAGCACGTATACTTTCTTGCTCAAATGTAAATATATATTTTATTCTTACCATTTTTCTCTGCTGTTTAAACATATTAATGGCAGAGGTTAATGAAAAATCATTATTCTGTACAATGGTAATAGAAACCAGAATTCAAATACAAAAACTAGGATGCTCCTCTTCAAATGGATTTGGAAAATGAGATTTGACCATATTTTCAAATCTATAACCGGAAAATGAGTAAAACTCTTAACATTTTGTAGTAGAAGAGATGTATCATCGTAGTAAGAATGAAGATGAAATATATAATTGTTGCGAAAGAGATTCATAAAATGATGATTTTCGAATAAAAGTGTCCAAGATTTGCAAACACAAGTAAATCTTTTTAAGATTTTAGGCTAAATATTTTCTTCTCATATGTACGTTGTCTGCTAATTAATTAGACAAAAAGGATCAATATTTTAAATAGTTAAGAAATCAATTTAACAAAAAAAAAATAATTAAGAGATCAATCTAAATCTAAAGATAAAGTTAAGACAAAAAGGATATTTTGCTAAAGATTTTAAAGACAATCGGATAGAATAAAAAATGCAAGATCATTATTTATGTAATTTCTAACCTTTTTGTTTGTCAAAATTGCAGATATTTCCATCTCAATTGGAACCTGTAAACCGGTCAAACAAAAATTTCTTGATGAGAATGTAGTGAACAAACAATTTTTTTTGGACTATATTTAAGCTTAGATTTAATAACTTCGAAATGAAATAAATTAATATTTAATATCATTAAATAATATTTGTTGACTTAATTGATAAGCATCCAATAAAAAACTTCATTGAAATGAAATGGTCAAAGATTCTATTATCGAAATAAATTAAAAATATGGACAGTCTTAGGTTATTTTATTGCTATACATCATATGATTTCTAATATAACTGAAAGTTTATTTTATTTTTTAAATTTATTAGATAATAAATACATTTAGTTTATATCTAATACTATTTTTTTTTATATAAAAATGACTAGATGGAGTACTTCTAATTTAATTTTTTTTCAAACATTTTTAATAGTTTTAAAACATAATTAATTATAAATATTATTAAATATTATTTGTCGATTCAATGATGACCATCCGCAAAAAACTTCATTGAGAAGAAATTCTAAAATATTTATTATGTAAATAAATTGAGAAAATAGACCGTTTTAATGTTTTTCAAATGATATAACTAATTAATTGTTTCAATTTATATTTATATTTTAATATTAATTTTATTATAATCACTATCACTTTTTTTAAATATTTTTATTTTTTCGTTCTTATATCATTATTTAAAGGTAGTTATTTAATTAAGTTACAATTTCTCAATGTCAAACGTAATTAGTTATGTTTTTAAATTTGCGTGGTATATAATAAAATATTATATATTTTAGAACGGAGAAAATATATCTAGTAAATAATGATATTTGTTAAATAGAAGAATTAATTGTATTAAAAATAATTTTAAAAATACAAGAGCACTTGCATAATTTACTTAGATGATAGATATTTTCGAGTTTAATTAGATGCTCTGTGTTCAAATTCAACTTTAAAAATAGAGTTATAAAAGAATTATTTTGACCGTAAACTTATTCACTCATTCTGGTCTTTCTTAAATTAAATATATAATTATTACATGAGATTTTGGACAAAATATTAAAACTAAAATAAAAAGATAGCTTTATTGCATAAGTTTAAAGTAACGAGGTTCCACTTCAACTGTAGTTTTTTTTTAAAATTTTATTTTTATTTTATAAATTAGCTATTTGATGAATTTTAAATTTCATTGAAAATATATTTATCATATAATAATTAATTAAATATTGTTACAGATGAACGAGTCTAATTTAATTGTTACAATATACACTGATATTAAATATATCTATAATATTACAATATTTTACTAACTATTTAATAGGTAAAAATGTAAATGAATATTTATAGGAAGAGTAGTATGATATTCACATCCGTTTTATTAGATAAACATGATATCTATATATGTTTTATATTCGTGAAAATATTCGCTAAGCGAATAATATGCGAGCTTTAAGATATTTACGAATATTTATAAATAATTGTTAAAAAAAATTTCTAGTCTTTTTAAAAAAAACAAATTATATTATAACAAAACATTCATATAATTTGTTCTCAATTTAATAACAAAATTTTATCACTTTTTTTTCTTTTTTACCAAAATATAATAATATTTAAATATAACATTCATACATTTTATTTTTAACCAAAATATTAAAAATATATTATAATTGTGAGTTATAATGAAAAAATGAAAGACAGAATAAGAGTGGTACTTGTTGGTATGAAAGAAGTTTAAATATTAAATGATCAAATATGATTTGTATAGAATGTAAAAAGTTTTTTTTTTTTAAAAGAAACTTTAAAAAAAAATATGAGAAGACTAAGGTTTTAAAAAATAATAATACAAATATAGAGTATAATAAACGAATAAATGAATGATATTTAAATATATTTTATAATTTTTTAATAGATACTATCTCTGTTTTTTTATTATAAGTTGTTTTGAAAAAATATTTTGTACTACAATATAAGTCGTTTTATAATATCAATGAATCATTACTGTTATTTTTTTTTTATATTATACCCTTAAATATTTATTATTCTCTTTCCTTTCAATTATGTTAATTTGTCTTTCCAATACTATTAATAAAAGATAATTTTGTAAAACCCTTCTTAATTTATCTTTTTTAAACTATAGTTATTACATTTTTTTTAATATATGTGAAAAATAAAAACGGAGGGAATATTAATATTTGCGAACATGAGTATCATTAAATCTGCAATATTCATCTATTTTATCTATGAGTATTCATTAAATTGCTCGTCGTATTCTAGAGGGAACAAATACTTTTTACCATCCCTAATAATAGAAAGAATTATCATGTCAATTTTATTGTATTCTGACAACCAATGTCGTCTTAATGATAGTTTTCAAAAACTTAAACAATTATCACTATTTTAAAATATACTATAACATGTCAAATTCACTCGTGTTTTTTTAATAGATACTTGAATGATTTTTTTTCCTAACAAAGAAGGAAAAGTCCAAACGAAATAGAAAAACTACACACACCCGGGAATACCTCTAGCATCATCATCCAGGAGACTCAACAAACTATCAGGTGCCGAATTGAAATACACAATATTTGGGCCTATGTTGCAACAAACATTAGTTAAATCATCTGCACATTTATTTGCTTCTTTAAAAGAGTTAACCACATGCACTTTCTCATGATATTCCATCAACCTCTATATGTGGCTGATTAACGCCATACTTTCTCTTATACTCGATCTTCCCTTCTTAATCCTAAAGACAATATAAGTTTGAGACCTTCATACATACCCCACAATTCCAACATGAAGACATTACATTGTCTTAGAAATATTGCAAAATCATACACCCACTGACCTATATCATCTTCGGTGACTCCCCTGCATCCGAATATCATACCATCTTTGCACGCACCATCAAAATTCAATTTCACACAGTTTCTGTTCGGAGGCAACCAAGCAATCATTTTAACCACTTTGTCTCTTTACATGACTTTTTTGTTCATGCTCACTGCATCTATAGATTCCTTTAATCTTAAATAGATGTAAGCTTCGGGATCGAAAGGTCGTTCATAATATTCAATATGCCATTTTTTATTGCGCCAAATCCAAAGAAAGTGACACCCCATAGCCCAATAACTACAGTTTCAGTCACGTTCCTTTTATTAACGTTCAACATACTCCAACTGGAAAAAAAAACTTTGCACTATATCAGTAGGTACCACGTTCCCACACAGCTACATGGCTCTAGGGCATTCTCTCACTACATGCATCGTGGTTTGATAGACATGACCACAAAGCTTGCAAACAACAGTACCCATCTCTTTCCTGCTCTTGTTAAAATTTGTTAGCAACCTATCATGTTTCAGCAACCACATAAAACTTCTTACTCGTTCCAAAACCTTCAAGGTCCAGATTCTTCCAGTCCTTATCATTAGGATGAGCATCAATATTGGACAAGACTCTATACATATCACTCACTAAGAACACTCGTGCACCCGTTTCGACTATAATAAACTTGTTAGCATCATGTTCCTCCTTAGGAAGTAGAATTGCTCGAAATTTTCCCAACATCACCTGAGGAAACCACTTCTGCACCTCCTAGAAATTTGAATGTCATAGTCATTAACACACACCTTGGCTCCAACCAACTATCGCTTAACGCCTCAATACTACTCCCATCTCCAATGCTTCATATGCTCGACTCCATGAACCGAGGAATCATCTAAACTATAGCCTTCCAAATACTTGAATGAGTACTCGTTTACCTAATTGGATCCTGCACCTTAACTTCTTTTATAAATACCTCTCAAAAATGTACACTATAACTCATTTGAATTGCTTATCAGCTTCCAACCCTATTTCATAATGCAGGCCTTATGAATTACCTCTAAGTTCCTCATCCCTAGGCCACTTTCTTGGGTTTGGTTAAGGTATCTCACTTCACCGCATGCACTACGCCAAAAATGAATTTTGGCAGCACAATAAAGACAACGCTTTATATAAAAGCGCTACTAAAAGATTTATAAAAAAAGGGAAAAAAGCACTGGCTTAAGAAAGCGCTTTCTAAAAAGCGCTGCTAAAGGTTGTTATTTTGTAATACAATAGAAAGCGCTTTTAAGAAAGTGTTGCTATAAGGGGGGGATACGAAAGCGCTTTCAAAAAGCGCTGCTATAGGGGGGATACG